TTCACAGTGGGAAACCCCAGGTGGTGGCAGGTCCAGGTGCCAGGGGGTCTTGTTATGAGTGATTCTGTGTGACTTTTGGATCCTGCATCCCTGGGCTCCCCACAGCATCCTAACAGCACTGGCAGCAGGGAGGTGGATCCATGTCCCATCCAGGAGGGATGGATTTCCAGCTGGGACACTGCTGTGAGGCTGGCACACACCTGCTGCTCCTTCCCACCTCATCCTGCTTGTGGGATGCCGATTTGGGAGGAACCCTGTTAACATTTTCCCACAAAACTTGAATATCCTACCCCTAAAAACCACGGGAAAGGGAGGATCCTGTGGCTGCAGGGGGGACAGGATCTCATCTCCCAGCTCCAGGGCTCTGGGTCACCCATCAGTGCCTGAACATCGCGGGATGTGCAGCCAAACTGAGCCTCAGCCGTGAGCCTGCTGCTCCTCTGTGCCTCTCCTCACATCCCAGCTTTCTCTCCTGGACCCTGGGATTCAGGAACAGCTGTGGGACAAATATCTTTCCAAGGATGTGGTGTTGGATGGAGCTGGGACTGGGGAGGATTGAGTGACCTAGGCAGCTTTGAGCTCTTGTCATTTGGATTTTTTCATCCATTCTGGGCACCTGTAGTTCAGGTTTTGTCATCCACAAGGGTTCAGCTCCATCCTGAAGTCCCCTGCCCTGTCCCTCCCCTTCCAGCTGTGTCCCTCAGCGTTCCAGGGCTGCTGCTCACCCCTCCCAGCCTTTTCCTGCGGTTCAAGGAGTCGAAAGCTGAAAACTCCAGAGATGATTTATTTCAGCCACCTCTTTTAATGATGATTTGAATGAGCAAAGCAGAAAGCTTAGTTTAAATTACCAGCTTTTAATCTTGTTTCTCATGTGTGTGTTTTATTTATTCCCATAATTTGATTCTTTATTGGTAACCACCAACCTGCAGCTTTGATTCTTCTAAAACTCCTCTGTTTTGCTAAACAGAAAAAAACCATTTTGTATGTGGGAGGTTACTTAAGCAATTATGTAGCTTAACGTACATTTACAGCAATTCTTGTGTTTGCATTTTATTATGTTATAGGGAATGATGCATTTTTTCTTTATGAGATGATTATTAAGTTTGGACTCACACCACGTGCCATGGTCTATTTAGATGGAAATTGATCATCAATTTAAGATGCCCAAAAACCAGTATCAAAAATGGGTTTTATTAGCTAAATAAAACTATTTAAAATGTGCTAGCCACAGATGAAAGAATTAGCTTATCTGAGCTTTCATTTAAAGCTGATTTCCTAAACAAGATAAGCACTATCCACCAGGAGGGAGATAAGTGCTTTGTTCCCACTTTTCATACTCTTTATGGGTTTAAAATGAATATAATACTTAGGATTTGTTCACAGGCGGGAAAAGGCAAAGGAGCTTTGCCACTTTTCCCAGTTCCTAGGGTTTGCAATGACTAAATTACTGGGATATGTTAATGCAGAAGGAATTTATTTAGGCTGCAGTTTTGGAGGGTAGGGATGCTGGGAGGTGCTGGATCCACCCCTTCAACCACTAAAACTTCCATGGTTTTAAAGCTTCTTTATAGAGCTGACAGCGCTCTTGTGCTGCCTGATGTTTTTATACAAGCTGCTTAAATTAAAGGAGGGTGCATCTCAACAACAAACTCAATTTTTAATTTAAAAATAAAATAAAAGCGTATTTCAGGTAAAGAGAAACCACTCTGAAACTGGAAACAGTCCAAAAGTAAAGGTGGAGAGCTGTGGCAGAGCAGGCAGGGAACACTTCAGCCCTCAATCTTTCCAGGCACAGAGAATTATTATTATTATTTGCCTTGCCACAGCACTGAGTCCAGTCCATAACTTCTCGTTCTCCTTCCCGGGAAGGGGAATTTTTCCCCATTTGCAGGTCAGAGCCGACAGTAATTGCCCACTGCTGCCTGCTCGGGCTCTCCTGTAACAATCCCACACTAAATAAATGGCCCTGTGCTGTTATCAGCACTTTCCTGCCCAGCAGATCCAGGAGGTTTTGTTATCTCAAGGAAAAAAATTCCACGGATTGCCCATAAGCAGGGCCAGGGCCATGCTAATAAAGATAACAGATTATGTGCATCATGCCAATAAAACACCCCCAGGGTGGGCCAGGTCTCCTTTTTGGAGAGGCTGGAGCTGTTTCAGGGCACATCCTGCGCTGGCTGATGCTGGAATGGCCTCTGGGTGAGGAGGAATTATTTGGAATGTCCAGGGATGCAGTTCTGGGGAGCTCAGGGATGCCAGAGGAGCAGCCCAGTGCCCATGGCAAGCTGGGGATGTTTTGGGATGTTTTGGGATCTCCTCCTGGGTCTGCCTGCGGAGGCACCATCTGCCTCCATCCCTGGGCATCGCTCCCGCTGCAAAAATCTAATAATGAGCAAAGGCAAAAGAAGGAAAAGAGGAAAAGAGGAAAACAAGGCACTTCTGTGCTTCAGTTCCCAGCAACTGGCAGCAGTTTCGTGTGTGTGTATCACCAGTGCTGCTCCACGGGCTCCGCTCCTACTGGCATCATTTTTTAAAAAATCCCTTTTGCACAGTAATTGCTGTTTGTTTTGTCATTTCTCAGTGGACAATTACAGTACAAAAACAAGAGTGCCTTTGAAGAGTGTGAGCGGGGCTGGCGAGGCTTTATTAACACGCTATTAATGCTCCATCCAAACTCACTTGAATTCCACCTGCCTGGGGCCTGGGACACAAAAATCTGCCTTTGCAAAGCCAGGGTTATTTGATCTATTTAAAATACTCACAGTATGGTCTCCTGGATACATTTCAACGTCAGCAGTTTGGGAGGCTGAAATATCTCCTGTAGGTTTGTGCTGTTTCTTCATCATTCAAAAAAAGAAATTCATTGCGAAGAATATTTTTTTTTAATTTTTACTTTTTTTTTCTTGGAGAAGGAAAACAGAGAGAAAAATCTGAGCCCTGGTTTGTCTCAGAATGGGGTCCTTTCCCTGGAATTTAAGTATTAAGGAGAACAGAACAATTTTGATTCAAACAAGCAACTCCTCAGCCAAGAAGAGCTGGGGTCACCCCACCAAGCCTGTCAGGGACTTGATCCTTTTGGGAGACTTTCCAAGGCCTGATGGTTCAGTGATGTCAGGAGTGAGAAGAGCTGTTAAAAATAAAAAAGAGAAAATGAAGAAGTTTCCTGCTTAGCTCATTTCTATAATTTTTACTGAAGGGGAAGCTCTGGTAAATCAGGGGTTTGTGGTGCTCACCACCCATCTGTCCGTTCTGAGGTTACTCTGGTGTTTCATTGCTCACCAGGAATGTTCTTCCTTAATGAATATTATCCATCATCCATGAATGAGGCTGTTTGCTGGGAGCTGCTGCCAGAGCTGGGCCCTGCTCCTGCTCCCAGCAGGGTTTGGGAAGGTTCCACCACCCCAAGCTCTGGGCTGGGAGCTCAGAGCTCAATAATCGCTCCTATTAAAGATGTAAATGTGGCTCTGGACTCATGTCCCAGGGCACAGAGATTTTCCTAAAGGGAAGGAAGGGTTTTCTTTCTGCTGTGCTGATGCCTTAGGATTTTAGCTTTTCTATTTTTCAGATCCTGCACTGCGTTAGTGCATAACTCTGAACCCCATACAGAGTGTCAGCTGCTGTCCTCACATTTTGGTCAGACAAAACAATCCCTCTGGGCCTGAGATCCAAGGACACACCACAGCCTCAGGCCCTGAAAAGTACAAACAAAAGTGAATTGGGGGGAATATGACTTCATTACCTGAAGCTGTAATTGGAGAATTAATCCCTGATATGTAAATGGACCAAACTTATTTCTGCCTGAAAAACTCATGACCCTCATCCAGCTTGGGTGCAGCCTCTGGGAGGCTTTGACTGCCCAAGGTTCATCTGTTGAAGGCCTTTAATAAATCCCCACTTTATTCTCTTTAATAAATCCCCACTTTATTCTCTGACCCTGTCCAGCCTCTGCTCTCTGTAGCCACCCCGAGGCAGAGCAGGGCAGGTGGCCCTGAGCAGGGAGGTGTTTGCCCAAGGCCCTGGAGCTGGCACTGCAGGGCTGCATCCCTGGGGATGCTGGGCTGGGAGGTTTGTGTCAGCCCTCCAGGGGAGCTTGGGCACCCTGAGGCAGCAGCACCAGAGTTTAATTTATGCGTAGGCAAAAGATTTTTGGCCACTTTCCTGTGATTTGAACCCACTCCTATTGCAAAGTGCAAGCCTGGAGCCCACTGAGCTTCGGTGGGCAGGGGAAAAGGAGAAGGGAAAAGGGAGCTGCTGGGAACAGCTGCCATGGAGCCATTCTTTTAAACCTGGAGAAGCTTCCTGCAGTCCACCTGAGGAGGTTTCAGAGACTCTGTGCAGCAGGGAGGTGAACAGCCCTGGAATTACACCCTGGAATTATGGTGCAGTAATTGCTTGGTACTTACAGTCCAGGTCTAGAAGATCTCTAAGTCATAATTCATTGGGAAGATATTGAGCTCTCATCACAAAGAGGAAATATGGTCTCTAAACAGGCAGCTAATGGTGTGCAATTTATCTGATGGCAAATCACCCACGTTCATTATTCTGCAGCACAGCCAGAAAGAGAAATATAGAATTAGCTGAAGGAGAGAGGGAAGGAGGGAAGGACACATTTCCTTCCAGTGTTCCTTCAAGGTGGCTCTTGGAATCAGGGTGGCAGCTCTTTGTATCCAGGGCTGCCAGCACAGCCCGACCAGGAAAACCCCCTTCATATGCACCTTCCTCCCTGGAGACAACAAAAATGCTCTCTGTTATTATTTTCACACTATCCAGAGTTCTTACTGAGAAAAGCCTCAACCCTCATCCAGGAAAACCTCGGACTGGTGGAATTTTTATTGTTTTTGCTCATCTTTGCCAGCGCTGTGGCTCCAGGGGTGAACAAAGACCAGATACTCTTTTATGCCTTCTCAGTCCTGAGTGTCACGGTGCCGAGGCTGGGAATGCCTTCCAGCTTCCTCTGCTTTACAGCTTCCTTCCTCTCCACTTCTTTTACTCTCTTCCAGGTATTTCTGGTGGAGGAAATGGTTTGCTGGCTGCACCAGGCTTTTCCTGAGGGGTTGGTAATGTTTTCCAAGAGTTGGTGTGGGATGGCTCTGCAGGAGATGCTGGGTGAGGAACAGCCCAGAAAACAACCTCAGTCTCTCCATCCATCATCCTGGATGTAAACATCCATCTGATTCCTCCCTGTGTGTCCTGGGAGCTGTGGTTTCCCTTTGCAGTCCCCAGGGGAGGTGTCTGCAGGGGATGGGGAGCAGGGGGAATGTGCAGGGCTCTCCAAAGGTCAGCGATGAAGGACTGACAGAGCACGGACACTTCTCCCTCCTTGGTGATGCTCAGGGTGGAATCACGGGATTGTTAAGGTTGGAAGAGGTCTCCAAACCCATGGAGTCCAAGCATTAACCCAGCACTGCCTGCTCACCACTCACCCATGTCCCTCAGCACATTTTTGGAGCTCTTGCAGAGATGGTGATTCCCATGCCTGACAACACTTTCCATGAAGAAATTGTTCCTAGTATTGAAATAAACTTTCCCTGGTGCAACTTGGAGCCTTTTCCTTTTGTCCTAGTGCTTGTTATGTGGAGAAGAGGCTGACCCCACTTGTGCACAACCTCTTTTCAGGGAGCTGTAGAACACTTGGAGTTGAAATGTAGCAAAACTCACTGGCTGATCCTGGAAAATCCTCCTTTGTTCCACGAGCTGCTGTGGAAAGGCCTGAAGGACTGACCCCTGCCCAATTCCTGCCCAGGATCCATCCCCCAGCAGCAGCCCCTGGAATCCCTGAGAATTTGCAGGTTGCACACACTGAAAGAAAAAATAAAATGCTAATTTTAGTTTGCAGAGCAAGTGCCTTCATCAATTAATTATCCTTCATTGTGGAGTTATGGAGGAAGGCTGGGAAAAAATCTGTAGCACTTCTTAACTCTTGATTTGCTTTTTCTAGGTAATCAGAGGGACGCAGTGGGGATATTTGAGGTTGCTGTGGATTTTGCCTCCTGTTTTTTGATGGCCGACAGGAAGTTATAAACCCCTGAAATAACCTTGATTTCTTGGGAGGGCAAGCTCTGCTTCAAAGAATTCCTTCCATTTCCTCCCAGGGTGACTATGAGAATGATCCAGAAACAATGTGAAATCTAATTTTCTGTTAGTCATACACAAAGCACATCCAAGTCATCGCTTCATGCTTGGAAATTTGTCATTTTAATGTGACTGGAGATCCTGCTGCAGTTCTGAGCTGTCACCTGCCCGTGCCAGGGCCAGATCCTTGCTGGGATTTTTGCTGCCTTGCTCAGCCTTGAGCCCCTCTGTAACTCTGTAATTCTGATCCTGTGCCTGGAAAACAAACCAACAGCTCAAGGCATGGGAGGGAGGCACCATTTCCTTCCTTTGCTTGGCCACCATCGATTTTGCAAGGTGCTCAGCCCCTCTCCAGAGAGGTGGCTGCTGTTTTCTGTTTTCCATCCCCTTTCCTCAGGTTTCCAAACAATTCCCACCACCTTCCCCTGGGCCAGGTGCATTTCAGTGATGGAGAGATGTCCTTGGAGTCCAGAGATGGGAATTGATTTAAGATGCATTTTGGTGATGGACAGACTCCCTCAGAGTCCAGAGCTGGGAATTAACAACTGAGGTTAAATCTGGGGGCAATTCCAACATTTTTTTCTTGGAGATTTTCCTGGCAGGGCTGGCTGCTGGCAGGAGCCCTGCCTGCCTCGGGTCACCACCAGCTGTGGATGTGATGACCCAAAGGCTTCCCCACCCCACAGCAGAGACCTCCAAATTCCACCTCAGCAATTCCTGAATAACCTTTAATCCCCCAGGATTAAGAGACACCAGCAAGGGGTGCTGCCCTGGGGACTGCTGGGGAAGGCAGGGGGATGCTGGCACCTGTGGTGGCTGTGTCCCCTCGTCCCAGGAGAGCTGCAGTGGATTCACAATGGGAACAATGATTTGCAGTGTATGCCAAGCCAGGAACATTAAGAATAAATCACTCATAACTGGGAAGACGATAATAACAGGAGCCTCTGGGGAAATCTGCACTGCTGAACGGCATCTTTTATTATTTTTTTCTTTTTTCACTTGAAGTCACTTAATGAACCCTCATGTTCAAATCTTCAGAAAGACTCACCTTAGGGGGTATTGGGAAATATTGATAAATAGTGTTTGGCACTCCTGGGGCTCTCAGCGAGTGGCACCAACACTGTCACAGCAGATGGGCTGGATGCCTCCATCAGCTTTTGTTTCCCCACCCTTTATGGCTCTTCCTACCTGCAAGGTCCAGCCAGAGGTCAGCATCCCCATCCCAGCACCCCCACAGCCGAATTCCCAGCGAAAGGGGCTGTTAGCTCAGCAGGAAGATCCATTGAATCCCAAAATTTCCCAAGAAACAATATATTATCTGTAAAACAGCTTCCACACTTTATTTGCTGGTAATTTACAACCCACACTGTGAGACAGTGCAATATTTGCAAGCAATTAAAGAGAGGATGAGTCAACAGCAGCCACCTCGGGTCGGGTTTTCAAGCGCTCATGGTTCATAATTAAGAAGGGATTTGGGAAGCGGCGGCTGCTGCCCCGTCCCGGGAGCTCGGGGCAGATTTGGCACCGGAGGAAAAGGGAATGTTTGTTAAAGACGGGAGGGATGGTCCCTGCAGAGATAATCCGGACAAGGGGCAGTTCTGCATGGGGTGGTTCAAGCCGAGCTTTGCCGAGCGGGATGAGGTTAAAGGGCTGTGCCGGCTCTGGCATGAGCGGGACGAGCGCAGGGGGAATTTCCATGAAATCCTTGGGCAGCCCGGCACCTCCGAGCATCCCCGGCTCCTGCAGGAAAACCCGCAGGAATTGCCGGGCTGTGCTGCGGGGCCCGGCACGGTCCCAGCCCGGCTCGGGTGACAGCGCCGGGGATGCTCCGGCTGTGCCCGGCTGCGGCTCTGCCCATCCCTGCACACTCGGATTCACCTCCCTCAGCAGAGATTCTCGCTGTGCTGTGGCCCTGTGACAAGTCACCGCCGGGGCTGTGACAGCGCACGGCTGGGAAACTGAGGCACGGCGCTGCCCCACGATGGGGGGCTGGAAAGGGAGGAGATGGGGTGGGACCAGCATGGAAACCCCAGCTGGGGGAGGCACCTGGCCTGCAGGGGAGGGTGTCTGGGTGGGGAAGGGTTAATGGCCCCTCCCTGACTCAGAGAGCGGTAAAATGGGGTTTGCATCTCTTTTCTCCTTTGGGGGAGGGCGGAGGCCGAAGGCAGGCGCTGCTGGTGAGCAGGGCAGGGTTAAGGGGTTTATCCCCCTGCCCAGGGCTTTCCCCGGCTGCTGGAGGCACCGCTGTCCCTGGCACACGTCTGCTCTGGAAATGTGGAATCCTGTCTCTGGAAACGTGGGGAGACCCCAGGCTCACACTGATGGCTCAGGCACGGGGGAAAGCAAACACAGCCAGGAGTGAACCTGCCTTGCTCTGCCTCCTGGCCCCTTCTGCAAACAAACAGCATCGAGGGATAAAATGCTGGAATAAATGACACCAGCCACCAGAGTGGGTACAGCTCCCTGTACAGCAGCTGGGCAGGGACATCGTCACTGTCACAGCTCAGCAGAGTTGTCACCCCTTGAGGTGGCTTTGTGCCACTCCCCTGTGTCCCCTGCTTTCCATCCAGCTGCTGGTCCATGGCACCTTGCCTGGCACCTTCCCGTGATCTCAGGAAATCCCAGAGCCGCTCTGCACAAGAGCTGCTGATTTAACAGTTCTGCCATAAACCATTCTTCATTATCTGGGTTTCACTGGACGACCCGGGCCCTGCTTAAGAAGAGCTATTTCTTCTGCAGTCAGCTGTATTTAAATAAGTTACATTGTGGGTAAAACACCCCCAGAGAAAATCCATGCATTGTTCCATTCATCAGCCACAGCAAGTTCAAAATAAAAACGTTCCTAGGTGAGGTAATGTACTGTGACACTGTGTAAGTTAATTTATAAGAGAATTAACTGTGTTTAGAAGAGAGGATGAAACTTTCTCCAGTCTGCCAGGGTTGGAGCAGCCCTAAAACCAAACCTACTGGTGGAAAAAACCTCCCAGTTCTTCCTTAAAAGATGGGTTGGTTTGGGCATGCTTTTTCTTTTATTTTTTAAAAGTTCAGTTGTTAAAAGTGGAAGTGGAGTGGAAGTGCAGCTCCTTGAGCTATCGAGCTGGGGAACTTCTGCTGCTTTGCTGGAGCACTGCTGCCCTGCCTGGTGCCCTCCTGGCTGTCAATAAAGTGATGCTAAGGAGAGCTCTGGGATGGGTGAGGCTGCCAAAGCCTTTCCTGGGCTGTGGCATCCCTGGGAGCTGCCCTGGGATGCTCAGAGCAGTCCCAGGGGCAGGAGGGCCCAGCTGAACCAGGGGGTCTTGGGCTTCAAGCTTCTCCCAGCCAAAGTTCATGGGAATTTGGCCACCATGAACATCCCACTGGCTTTGAGGTCCCTGAGCAGGGAGGGACTCGAGCACTGCTGTGTGTCCTGTGTGTGCCATTATCAGGCTGTGGGTGCCATTATCCCAGGAGATTTCCATGCTGCTTTTTGTGGCTGCACTTCCCTGGGTGCCCTTGGGACACGGGGTCTCTGCTGTGAAAGCCCTGGCACATCCTTGGGCTCCTGTCCCCTCCCCATCAGACCCTGATGGCTGCAGCCAGAGGTAGGGACACACCCCAAGGCCACACCTGGATGGGGACACACCCCAAGGCCACACCTGGATGGGGACACACACCACACTGTGCTGGGGACACACATCACATCCTGCTGGGGACACACATCACACCCTGCTGGGGACACACATCACACCCTCCTGGGGACACACATCACACCATGCTGGGGACACACACCACAGCCTGCTGGGGACACACATCACACCCTGCTGGGGACACACATCACAGCCTGCTGGGGACACACATCACACCATGCTGGGGACACACATCACACCATGCTGGGGACACACATCACACCGTGCTGGGGACACACTGACTGGGGACACACACCACATCACATCACACCCAGCTGGGGATGATACCCATGTACTTTGGGCCTGGCTGCAGGGATCCCCTGCTCCTGCACACCAGATCTCCCACCAGCAACGATGGATGGAGCCAGGAAGGACCCTCCAGGCCTTTTATTCCAATGAATGTTTGCAAATTCTTCCCCCTTATCTGGCAGCTTTCACTTCAGCTTTGCAAAAGCAGCAAGGAGTCTCTATTCTGTAGCTATTTTTCACCATAATGATTTATAATAGAT